AAATTATTGCTAAATTTATCAAAGGCAGACAGTATCATGAACAAAGTTTAGCAAAAAAAGGATTTTCAATTTCAATAGCTGTGGTGTGTTCCACCTGCTAAAGCTTACATTACATAACAGCCTCAGGTTCGAGTCTCCCATTCAGTAAGTGTAAAGTTGTCACAGGCTGCTTGCCATCACGAGCAGTGTATTGCTGCTTTTGGACACAACACAGGGAGTTGTATTTAAGGTCCTCAGCTGGACATGGACCCCTCCCTGGCTACTGCTGCCCCCTGCCATATTATGAGTTATTTCTGTTGGTTAAAAACAACCTATTACTTCTCAGTGTGAAGCAATATGGTTCATATGACTTCTGAAAGCAGTCTTAAATCACATAAAGAAGTTACAGATCATCTGTGTTGAAATACTATTAGTGCAATATCCCTGCCATGAGCAGAACACCTTCCACTAGAATGGGTTGCTCAAATCCCCACCCAACCTGGCCTTGAATTTTTCCAGGCAAAGGGCATATACCATCTCTTTTGGCAAAAAGACCCTGAGCCTTCAGCCTCACATTCACACATCTGTGAGTCAAAACAATAAAATCATAACGCAAAGCTACCTAGCATAAAGAAAGTAAATAAAGGAGCTTAGGCATGGCTCAAATCAAAGAATTTCCTACCCAGGTTTTGAGCAGAAAAAGAATAAAATGATGAAAGATCTTATAGCCAAATCATTAAGGTGAGCAATGTATTTCTCAGAACAACCCCCACACTCTACTCTTTAGGGATAAGGTAAGTAATTCTTCATAAAGTCAGGCCACACTGAAAGCATCCCATCCTAATTACATCAGACTTGGAACAACCAGTTTATCATCAAAACCACTGGAGCAACTTTGCACATTTGATGATACTGCCATTTTGTGACAGATTTCCGTTATGCTTCTAGAAGAACAGAGTCATAAGAAAGGCAACAGGAAAAAACTTGTTCTGAGCACACCAGCTGTTCTGCAACTCCTACAAAATGAGTCCAGTGACAGAAGCAAAGCTAAGTATAACACATGAAACAGCAGCTGGTGTCCAAGGGCCTGCAAATCCATCACATGTAGTACAACTGTATCTCCAAGAAGAACACGTTATCTTGTGTTTAGCAGTGTATTCCAAGATTCTCCTTGAACAGGTTCAAGCAACTCTGGCAGTTTCCTTCCTTTGCAAGCTTATTTGCACAAATAGTTACTTGTTGTGTCTACAGAACAAGCCCACACATGAAGGACTACCCACTGTCCCTAAAATCAGAACATTAAGACTTACTCATGAACTGCGTATATGAAGAGGGTATCTGTAAAGATGACAGAAAGCCTTTGGAAGAAGATGGTTGCACGACTGGTGTAATTCAAGTTTTCAACAACCAACATCTGGGGGTCAAAGTACTTGGCAATGTGAGAGAGTACGTATTCAAACCAAGCAAAAAATGGTGGATAATCCAGGGTCCATTCTGAGGTCGCCTAAAGACAAAATAAGATTAAACAGTTGGTAACAAACAGTGCTGTTTGCAGTCCTTCAGGTACAGCTCACTGCAGCAAACCAGCTAATGCATTTTCTCTCAGTACCCTCTATCTAACTCAAACCACTCCACAAATAGCTCTGTGGTGCTTTAAGCTGTTCTCCTGCAGTACTGGTAGAGATGTGACATTTCCTGATTAGCAGGAAAAGATTAGACAGCATCTTGTGCACCTGCACTTAACCAGTATATAACTGTTTGTTATCTATAAATCTATTTATAGTAACAGGGCCATTATTACAAAATCTCAGTAAAATAGCTCAGAGCCAATATTTGTCTATATTGGAGTGATCACCAACACAATCAGCCTTGCTCCAACCTCAAAATTACATTCACTCATCAGTTAACAAGTCTTAACTCTCACAACCACATCAAGATCAAATGGCATTACATGATCTCTTCCCATAAGGACAGTTGTTATGCTCTGACCAAGAATTAACTCCTTGGCTGTGGAAATAGGAGAGGAAGAGGCATGAACAGAGCAGGCTGGGATGGGGTATATTTTTCAGTGAGCATGTTCCCAAATGCTTATGCTGTATTGATGAAAGGCATCCTATGTTCTGGCACGGGGTTAATGCTGGCATTATAAAAATTTGCTTGTCACACAGTCCTTGGATCAGTCCTACAAAGTTCTGACCTGCACAAATCATTTACTTCTAGATGCTTATGTGGAGTACAAGACACTACAGTATCTATCTATCTATCCTGTACTCCAGCAGATACCAGGGGACAGATTAAAACCCAATTAGGTAGGCTGAGTCTATGACAAACCCAAATTTGTCTAGATAAAAATCAATGCATGCTACTAGCACACCAGCAAAGGCTGAAAACTTGAATAGTGATTGATTTCATAATGGCAAGATGTATATATGCATTAGCATGACTCACTCTTTATTCTGGTAACTGTGTATCAGCAATGAGAACAGCATAGACACCAGCAATTTAAGAGTACAATGCAACTTGCTCTGGTGCTACACAGCTTTTCCAATAACCCAAGTGCCTTAATTGCTTTTCCCACTTTGCCTTAATAAGTACTTGCAGCTTCCCCAGCTAACTTTCATTTTTTTAGCTAAATGCTACACAAGGCCAGCAAATTGTGACTGGCATCTTTTTGTCCCACTATATGACACTCAGCAACCATCCCTTCCAGCATTCACAAGGTCTGTCCTACCCAATGTGCTTGTAATTCATACACAGCTAAAAACACCCCAAACCTGTGCTTACCTCGTAGTACCACTGAGAGAGGGGCAAGCTGTGGGTGATGGCAAGCCAGTTCCTATGGACTTCAAAATCTGTGGAGTAACTACAGAAGGTGAATGTTAAGTCACACACATGCATGCACTAAGAAGGGAACAAAATCAGAGCACATCACCACATGCAGATAAGGAAGCCTCTATTTACCAGTTCTAGGATGCTACTGTGATCAAGTAACTGAAACAGTAAAAACGATGCTGCTTAAGAACTTTGTGTAAAAGATGTATCATAGAATGGGCTGGGCTGGGAGAGACCCTAAAAGCCATCTCCTTCCAACCCCCTGCCATGGGCAGGAACATGTTCCACTAGACCAGGTTTCTCAAAGCCCCATCCAACCTGGCCTAGAACACTTCCAGGGATGGGGTATGCAGAGATTCTCTGGGCAGCCTGTGCCAGTGTCTCACCAACCTCACAGTAAAGATTTTTCTCCTGACGTCTGATCTAAATCTCCCATTTTATTTAGTTTAAAACCACTCCTCCTTGTCCCATGACTGACCATGTAAAAAGTCACTAACACAGGTGCTCATAGGGCAAGAACTATTTATAGCTTGGCTTTTTCGGACAATTAATGCGAAATTCCAAGTCCTAACTGAAACTTAATGGCAATTTGTTAGGGGTTTTTCTCAGTATAAAAACTTAAAGTTACAAAACATTAATGTTTCAGCACACTTTCAGCCTTCCCGAAGAGCAGCCATCCGGAACGGGCCAGGAGGGCTTCCAAAGAGGAAAGGAAAGCTGTGCCACGCGGCGGAGGCAGCGCCGCCTCGCTTCCCTCACGAACCCGGCAGTCACAGGGACCTCCAGGGTCTCCTCAGGACCGCGGCGCCACGCTGCCCGCGCCCGGCCGCCCTCGGGGGTTCGCGGCAGCCCTGCGCCACCCGCCCCCGTCCCGTCCCCGTCCCGTCCCCGTGCGGTGCACAGGGAAGCTCCTTACTAGGCGGGGATGAGGAGACACTTGAGGAAGGACACGCCGAGCGCCAGCACGCGGAACCAGCCGCGGCCGCCCGCCGCCATGGCGCGCCCCCCGACCTGCGCATGCGCCGCCGCCTGCCGCGCGGGTTTGAAGCGCGCGCGCCCGCTGCGCTCGCGGCGTCGGGAGCGGGGCTGCGCGTGCGCGGGGAGGGCGGGGCTCCGTGAGGGGCTGGAACGGGCGCGAGTTGGAAGGGAGGAAATTTCGGATATCAGAAATTTAGGGTATCAGAAATTCTTTGCTGTGAAAGTGGTGAGGCACTGGCACAGGAAACGGTTAATGATTAGCCCGCACGAACACAGAAAAATAACGCAATGAGAGAACGCCTGAGACCAAAAATCGGCACTGGATCAAGAGGCGCAGGAAGAATGAGTGCATGGACTGAGGGTATGGCAGCTCAGGGACTGATTTGCTGAGCGTCCCTCTGTGCAGACACCCAGCTTGAGCTGACATGCTGCTCTACCAGGCTATTACTATTCACTTTTAGAAATCCAGCACCTGGGGCTGTTGGGGAAGCTCGGGTTGAGCCCGAAGGAAGAGGAAGCATGCCTGGGAGGGAGTGTGCGTGAGCGAGGTTGGTTGGGGCTGTGAGGCCGCCCAGCCTCCCCCGGGCAGAAGCTGCTTTGAAGTACTCCAGCTCAGCTCTGCTGCAGGGAGGTGCCATCTCCAACCTGTGTTGCTGGTGTCCAAGTCAGCTTCCAGGTACAAAATGCTCTTTCAGAGGAACAGTCTTAATTTTTTTTTTTAATACCTTCCTGCCAGCCTGCAGGGTGGATGCATACAAGGCTGATGCCTTTTTAGCTTCATTAGCAAACCTTCATCTATCGAAGACTAGTATCTTGTAGGAACTACATGGACTCATACAGTTTACCTGTTCAGTTTTTATTTTCCTGTACAGCAGCAATGTATTATTTGCTCAGGAACTAGTGACAAGTCTAACAGCAGTAATGCATCAGGGTTTAAGTAGGGTCCTCACTGGAAAAACAAATCCTCTGTTTATAAATGTTTGAAACATAAATGAGCTAATGCATTTTAAATGGTTTTCATTATTTACAAAGGCTTGTTCACCCAAGTTTTCTACTGCACTAATTCCTGGGGACCTTCTTGCAGTTCCCAGCCACTGAGAGGTCGAGGTAAGCATTACAAGGAGGCAGTGGTTAGAGAAAGGGAAAGCTACAAGTGCAGCAAGCATCACTCATGCTTTTTTCTCAAGAAATATGTCAGGCAGAGCACCTCCTGCTTCATTCACATTTTATTTACTGCTATGTAAAATACATATTAGTTACAGTTCACAGAAGGAGTTACAAGCAGAGGAATGCAATCAGATTTTTAAATGGGATAGCCCTGCAGGCCCTCTGTGAAGGTAGTAAGCAATAAAGACCATCTTTTCACACTTTTCAAACACTTCTGATTCAAAAGCATGGCTTTTAGTGAATTGGGGTCCAAATGCTGATCAATGGGAAAATCCATAATTAGGAGTTGGAGCGTAAAAATACTCAGGGGAATGCCCAGAGGATGAGGAGAAAATAAATTATTAGATACAGCCCTCTCCTGTAGGTCCTTTTTTTTTCTGAATTCCCAGGGAAAATATTCCTTGTGTTATTCCCAAGTGAACCCATGAGCTTGATCTGGATATGTATACACAACCAGCCCTTCTTGCACAGACTATCTGTGACTGCCTCTACTAACTCACATATGAGAGTGTTCCTGGGAGGGCCCCACATTGGCACTTCTTGTACCCCGCAGGTTTGTGTCCATCAGCACCTAGATGCAGAATGGAAGTTAAAATGTTTCAAAATACGCTGAAAGTCTGAGCAGAGGCACCAAGTTCTACAGGATAGGGTGAAAATAAAACTGCCCAGAGGAGTCTTCTTCATAACTTCTTCATTAATCTGTGAAGTATCAGAAGTTCCTAGACTGATTTTCCACAGTCTATGGCTGAAGGCAGTATTTATCACTTCCACCAACCTCGTACACAGACTCCACCAGCCTTTCCACCTCGCCTTTTATTCTTGGGAATAAATCTGATTGACTGCAGATATTTGCTGCCAGTGCTCTCAAGCAGCAATTTATACCCAACAACCCAGTTATAAAGTTCTAAGTGCAGCAGTGCAAATGCTTGGTGACTCGAAGCAAATGGAAGCAAAGCTGCCTGCTCCCGAGAAGCTACTAGCAGAAGTCTTGGCAAGACCCATATTTAAAGTGCATAATAGGAGATTAAACCTGGGAAGGACCAGTGAATCATTTTAATCACAGACTTTTGTAGTAAAATCTTTGTCTCCATTGTTATCTTGCTGGGTTGGGTTTTTTTCCCCTGAACACATAAAGATAATTTTATTTTCCCCCTTCTAAATCCTGGATTTCTTGTTATGTGAATTCTTTTAGATCTAACATTTTTATAACTATTTCTTTTATTTCTTTACCACTGCCTGCAGAAACAAACACTCCTTCCATCAACTCCTCCCAGCCTTTAACAGCTGTATAAATTAAGTATTTCTTATTATTTATATACAGTTTCAGTCTCATAATTGTAACTGGACATGGTTAGATATTTAAGAGTACCAAGCCTAAAAACACATAAAGAGATCCATGAGTGATTCTTTCTGGAGTCCATTAAGATGTTTTATAATAGTCTTTTTGCCATGTAAGAAATACCACTGTGCTGTGCACATGTCCAGATCTGAGAATGCCATTAGACTACAGCTAAAATCTTGTTTATCATCTGCGCTAACTTTGCTATTCTCCTCTAACACTATTGAACACTCTATTCAGTGGTCATTTAGGAAAAAAAAAATGAGGCCAATAAAAAAAAATTGCAGGGCTTGGCCTCATTTTGTACACTAAGGTATTGAGAGAGACAGGCATATTGCAGAAGCAGGAATTATGCACCAAAATGTAGAAGAAAACAGTCACACAACTTTAAGGGAAGAAAATGTCACTAGATCCTTTCCAGGAAAGAAAATGTTTGTTCTGAGAGTGAATACTCCATTCAGCAGTGAAATCATTTTTAGATATTACTGCTAATAAATGCCAAGTGCTTTTCATAACTATTGGTGGGGTTGTGCTATACTTAGCATGGCTTTGTGCATGTTTGCTTCTCTTTAATTCAGGAAAACTCTTGAGAAGAATCATTATCAGTGCTGTTGACTGGTAAACAAAAGCAAGTTACACCTCCAGGGCTCAGAAAAAGAAGGCAAACAAAAACCAGCTATTCAGATAAAATGCAAACAAATGCTCTGGAGAGAGAATGTTCCTATAAACAGTCATTATATCGTAACTCACAGACTGCAGAATTCGGGAGCAGCTATAAATTGAGCTTAGTGTGGAGTTTGAAATAGCAGCTGCATTTGTAGAACATATGTTTGACTGCAATCACAAGTGATTCACTTACCATCCATTTCCAGTATAAATAGTACCTCATACTTAAGGATCTTTATTGTGCTTAGCAAGTTTGAGATACCTCAGGTTTTCCTGTTCCTTCCAAAGCATGGCTTCACTCATGTCTTTGTACTGGTTGGAAATTTTGCATCTATCTGTGTATATAAAAAGGGATATTTTACATCTCAATGTCTGTTAATAAATGACAGAGATCTGGGGCCAGCTGTACCTTTTACTGTCCTAGTTGCATGAGCACAAATAAATGTGTATTCAATTTGTTCATCTTCTGCATAACAGACTGATGGGTTAAAGCACGCCAGGTAAAGATCTGCATCCAGTTCTCTCATTTTACGGACTCCTCTTACTTGCCTTTCACCAAGAAAAATGCAGTAATGATACACCTCTCCCACGGAATATTTTATTTTGCTGAAACAGAATGGAGCAGTACTGATCCAGAGCTCTAAAGGGTGTAGGTCAGACCTTCCCACCTCCACCCTTCCAAATGAGATCTAAGCCCATTGCTCTTACCTTTGGATAAACTCAAGGTGACAGGAAACAAATTCCTACTGGTATTATTTTAGTCATGACATACAAGAGCTCTGGTTAGAGATAATTTAAAATTTACTCTCAAGGGTGTGGGTTAAAAAGAAATACAGTCAACAGTCCCCAAAATCTCTGTTATCATAAATTCAGCAGTGGTATATCTGTTTCAAGTCACAGATTTGATGAAAGAGGGTTCATTTTACAGATCATAATCGTATTACCAGCACAGATCATCGCTGTCAATGGCCAGCTGACTGGCCAGCTTGTGCTTTGTAATTCAGAACTGGGATGGGCAAAAAAAAAAAAAAAAAAAAAAAGTTCTTCCTAATGCAACTAAATATAGAAGAACATGGTGACTCAAACTGGAATTTAGTCACAAAATCCTGTTTACAATCCTCAAAATACACAAAATTTGCCATGTTTGGTGGTTCTGAGGGCTTCAAGCCAATCAGTGCTTTCTGACAACATGGTCCCACATATATCATGCTGGTTTAGCACCAAGTCAGACAAAGGGCAATGGTTTGTTACAACTGCAGAATGTGCATTTTACCCATAAGCATGCTGATTTGTGTTGTTCATGCAGTCACAGTTTAGGACAGTAAAAATATATTGATCACGCTGTTTTTTACAAGAAAAAAAAGCTTCTTTATGCTTGTTCACAGGTCAGCTTAATGTAACAGCAGAGTAGTTACTTTGGGAAACAAGAACATTCGCATTATTGAGCTTTGCAGCCCTGTGCTAGAAACCTTTGGAAGCACTAAAACTCTAAATGCAAAACTTAGTTATTGCATTTTCCCTTCTATCTCATTAACGATCCTGAAAATGTTCCAGAGGGTCTCTCATGCACTCATAGCAATCTGGTTAGGGAAATACAGTTAAGGTACTTTTCAACATAATTAGCTGAGAAAGAACCATCTTGAATGTGGCACAAATGATGTTTAGAGACAACATGCAGCTAGTGAGTTATGATTTTCATTACAGCACAGACCAGGTGTCTAGGGAACAGTTTGACCTCTGGTTTCCCACTGCTTTCCCTCTGGCAAGCTGAAACTGAAGCCAAGCAAGCAGGTATAATTCTTTTAGTGACCTGACCACTTCACATAGACGACAAAAGGCTTAATGAACCAGGATAGGAAAAACGACCCTCTGTTTTTGTGATGAAAAATATTAGGTGTAACCTGGTGAGAATGTTGTCTTTTCAAATTAAATCCATCCTACCCAGAGAGCATCCCATGCATTCCAGGTACTGCTGAAGGGAGATATGCCCAAAAGAGGCTCAAATGTTTAGAGGACATTTGGGGTCCTCTGCCCCAAAATCTGTCTTCACCTTAGAAAATTTCAGCAGCATCCTCCAGACAAATATTAAGATTGTAAGAGAAAGAAAAGGACTACTTGTCTTGGATGCCTTTGGAATGTAAAAGTAAAGATTTAATCTTCTTGGTTTGTAATAACACCATTCTCTCTTCTATGGCTTCCTTGCCAGTCATATTATTCCAACATGGCTTCCCTGAAAGCACAATAAAGCACGGGCTCCCTCACAGGGTTCAGAAAAAAACCCAAGCCAGCTTCACAGAAATCCTTTGTTGAACCCAAAGAGATGCGATCCCTTACTCATTTGCAACTTGTACCATCCTTTACAGCTGTCTTTAGTGCATGTGGGAAGGCTTCTCCTCTGCAGATCCAAAGCTTCTTGAATGCTCTGCCCAGGTGGCACAGCAAGGCATGGCAAATGTGCTGCTAGGGCTGTCTGCTGCACTGCAGCTCCACGGTAACTTCCACTGCATCCATTCCAAACCACGGTTACCGAACTCTCGCATCCCCTGGCAATGCGGGTTAAGGATCACCCATTTTCCAACTGGAAAATGTAAAGATGACAGAAGTTAAGTGATTTTCCCCAGAATTGTACAGCAGGTCAGAGGCAGAGGCAGAGACAGAGCCAGTCCTTCATTCAGGCGCTAGACAATATTGCTTCTGTCTGGAATATGGACATATTCTGGAAGGTCATATTGGTAAGTACATTAAAGGAAAATCATCTCCTTGTTAGTGACTCTTAATCCAGATAAACATGATTCTGAATTAGGCTGTAAGTGTGTTTTAAAGGGAAACACTTAACCTGTGTTATCTCCATGCTAGCACCACAACAGCCATTCCTACTTGTACCGAATTAGGCGAATAATCTTATTATTCATGAAATCTGAAGTATGTGGATGAGCAGAATCTATGCAGAAACCATCACTCATGGCTATTTTCAGCACTTCTTCCACAAACACCTGGAAACTATTGATTTGCTTATTATCTGGAACCACCCAGAGTCTCTTCAAGTTCTGCCTGGTGTACTCCTCTTCGGGAAGGCCTTCCACACTTGCAACCCAGTCTAAGGTCAAGTGGTTTGGGTCCTGCAGGTAACTGGATATTGAGGAAAGGTTTCCATTGAAACAGTAGTACAGTTTGGAACCAAGAAGCTTCAGGAACAGGCATGACGTGGAGAAGATATGAGCACTGAACACTTCCATGTTGGAGGAAGACAGGCTGTAAATCTGGGGTGCTTCTCGGACAGTGAAGTGAACAGTCTGGGTCTTCTGATCGAGAGTGATGTTGAGCATGGCGTTTTTCTCTGCTTTAGAAAGCTCTACCTCCTTCTCCTGCAAGGCCTCAATCAGGGGCTGAATTTGATAAAAATCTACTTCCCGCCGCAGTAAGCCCATTTCCTGAAAATCTTCAGGAAGATCCAAGTGAGAAGTTCGTAAAAAGTTCAGGATATAGCGGAAGATTTTGCCATCTCTGTCAATAAAGCAGTTGCCTTGGCTGTCCTTCTTGGTTGGGATCTTCCCACTAAACATGGCCCCCAGCATGGAGTCTGGAAAGCTAGTCAGAGTGGACAGAGAGGTGGTATAGAGTTTTCCTCCAACATTGAGCGTGATAGGTTCTGACATGATGGAAAAGTCACAGTGCTGGGATTAATTCTAAAAAAAAAAAATTAAAAAAAAATCCAACACCACACATTTAGTTGCATTAATCTTTTTGAAAGGTTGAACTACAGAGATAAATAGTACTAAATATATAAGGGTAACCACATGGCAAGAATTCACCATAGAAATTAGAAGTGAGGAATTATTTTTTGAGGTTGTATCTGAGAACAAGCATAAGGATATTTTTTCTCCTAACAGATTTGAACAGGACTTTGTTTAATTCAGTTTAGTGCCAGAAATCATGAGTCTTCCAAACCTTTACAATTATGCTAAAAGTGAATCTATCCCACCAATACCTACTATGAGGGCTGACTTCGAAGTAGCATTCTGGGCTTGTACAATCTCATTTCCCTCACAAACAGAGAATTTAGAGGGGGCGAAGAAGGACAGGACAAGAACTTGACACAACCCAACATTTTCCATAGTGTTTGAGGCTATGATTAGAGTAACAAAGCAGTTCAGCAGAATCCCCTGATGTATGTCTGAGTGCAGTCAACATAGCAGGGAGCCAGGCAGCAGTTGCTGCCATAAGCACATGACAGTCTATGGTTTCTTTCATTAAAAAAAACCCAAAAAAACACTAGACTTTCTTCTTCCACTGTGCTTTACCCTAGGAAACATTTTTTAATTATTTGGGGCCATATATCAGTTGACACTGTTTCCATGCTGACCCTCTGCCATCAGCTGACATGAACTAAGGATGGGATATTAAGGTGCAGTTAAGCTGTAGGAAGGGACATGCATGACCTCCCCTTGGCCTCCACCATACTATCTTCCTCCTTTATGCCACCTCTGGCACTCATCTGATCCTACAGTGAGTCAGTTTAGGGAGAAAACACAACATTTTCTATTCAGCATGCTTTGCTGTATGCTGGAACTGGACCAATGCCAGGGCTGGGGCAAGGGAAAAGAAAGGAGCTGTGCAGCTGTCTCCATTGCAGTTCAGCTCAGCTGTCTTGTGCAGGTAGGCCATTATTCCTGCTACCTGAGGACCTGCAAACCTGTTTTTTCTTGTTTGCTGAATCTAAACAAATCAACAGTTCAGCAGGAAACCCACCAGTGTTTTCTTACAGAGGCAGGAGGCAGCTCTTGCTGTAGTAACTACAGTCATTCAACAGAAAGCTGCCAAACAGCTCCCTTAAAATTGAACTTAAGTGCAGGCGTTTTCCTAACTAGTAATGGAATAATCATAGACACTACCCACTATTATCAGCTCTGGAGTCACAGCAAAATGCAGATAAGGATAAGGTCGTCTGTGCTGGAATATCAATTTCATGGCTGCTAAAACACAGATAATAGTGCTAATGGCATTCTAAAACAAATACATCTCTAGGCAGCAGCACATTTTGCTAAGAAAAATTGGCCCAACCTAGGGAAGATAATTAACAGGTCAAAGGAGAGCCTGTCTTTAACTTGTTTAAGACTAACATTCCACTTTGTTCTTTAGCCCTTGGCACACAGTCTGTATTCCACTGGACAATAATGGAAAGATGCAGATCTCTAAATGTAGAGTGCTTTCCCTGTCAGTCCCATGCATCCAGCAAAACTGGCAAATAAAGATGCATGTGTAGGCCAACACAACAACACATGCATTGATGACCACAGACCATCCTTGTGACTAACCTCAGCCAAATATACTCCAGAAAAAAACCCTATCTGTTCCAGTGTTCAACTCCCCTTGGCACTGTAGTCTCAGCATACTTCCCACTCTTGAAGACTTCAACCCAATTTAGAGTCAAGAGCTGTTTAAACCTGATCATGTGGAGGCTTCAACTGATCTAATTCTGTAGCACGAGTGGCTGCCATGGATTTTTCCCCTAAGGGCTTGAAATATGTCTGCAAAAGCATTGCTACAAGAACAATCAGGCATTCACAAAAACAGCCTAAAATGGATTTTACTTTTTTTCACATTTCATCAAACAGAAGCTTCCCAATACCTCCCTACAGCCTGTAGAAGCAGGACTGATAGCGGCTCCAAAAGTTGTGTTCATTGCTTCCCACCTCTGCTGCCCTTCAAGCTGCTGTAGACTAAACAACCTGTTCTTCCTTCATAGGTGAAGCTTTCAGATTTTTGAGCCCACACCTGCTTCTTTACACCATGAGAGTTTTTCCTCAAGCTGTCTGCAAGACTTAGTCAAACACAAGATGTTTCCCTTGATGTGCCTGTGACAAGGCTTCACTTGGCAGAGCTCATGGTCAAGACTCACAACCCAAAGACCACCATGCAGCCCAAAGACACAGATCTTCATTTCAAACTCATCATCCATCCTAGGGTTTACGCTGATCCAACACCTCACTGATAGCCTGAATGAGAGTCAGGCAACTTGGTCCAACCTGAACAGATAACATTAACTCCTGTAACTGTTTTCTTATCAGCAGTCCAAAAGGGATGTTGCTAACAAAATATGGCAGTAACATGAGCTCTCTGAAGCCGAAGACCGTATCTATGCTGGTGGCAACAGCATCAGAAATCTAAACCTTAGCTCTGGAGCTGGAAGAGTAGCACGGAGACTGGGAGCCTCTCAGTGTGTGGGCTCTGTTTCTCTCCCACCTTTGGGCATTGCTCAGACATGTGCTCTGGACAGCCCATTCTGCTTATGGCTATTCTGCATTGTAAAGACCCATACAGACTGGATTTCCCTCTCCCAGGACACCAGCCTGCTCTGATTTTGAACCTGCCCCTTGCCCCTGCACTAGAGTAAATTTTAAACATTTAACGAGGCAAACATCTTGCCCATGGATAAGGCTGGAGGATAACTATTCCTCAGCTGTCATTCCTAATTGTCTTTTTTTGCCTAATTCATCCCATTTCTTAGAGGTTTATATCCTCATAGAGTGAAGATGAATCAGATAATCTGGGAACCTCTGGAGCCAAAAACATGAGCACAAATGAGCATGAATGTCTACTGGATTTGTAATCAACCTGGACTTAATGCCTTGACCAACAAACATATTTACAAGTAGCTGGGTAAAGTCAGTCTTTGCTGCTTTTTGCCCTAAACACTTATTTATGAAAAACTGTTTTTCATAAACCTGTAAAAATTAAATAAAATGAGTGTAACTTTTCTCTCTTTAATCATTCAACCACCATTTGCAGCACCCAGCATGGGTTTTCAAGCCTGGTGCTTTGCTAATGGAATATAACGGTTGTCCAACAATGCAGTATGAAAATCACTTCTTGGCGAGATTTCCACAAAGAGGAGGTACCAAGAGCATCTGATCTTGGATATGGGAGGCTACTGGTCTAGTGGAAGGTGTCCCTGCCCACAGGTGGGGGTGGGTTGGAACTAAATGATCTTTAAGGTCCCTTCTAACCCAAACCATTCTGTGATTGTATGATTCTATAACCTGCTGACACCAAGGAGAAGTACAAATTGGGTTACAGTTCCTGGAAGCAGAGAATTACAGTACAGTATTTTGTGTAGTTCCTCCCCAAGTAGCATTTAAAATTCACTCTAATTAGGTCAGCTAGAGATCTAATTTGATAGCTGAAGATGCAAATTTGGCTGAAGAACACAAGATTTATTTCGTGCTTCTAAGAGCAACCTGTACTTAAATACCTCTTTTAATATCATGGAAGAGGGAAAAGTCTACATTTGATTTCAAGTCATGATCATACCACATGATGTAAATTGAGAGAAACCAGTAGTGCATGGTCAGCTTTATGAAAAAGTCAAACTCCTGAACCGAAGCTGCTGTCTCAGCATCTAAGCATTTCAACTGACCACAGCCTGTAAATTTTAACTTGGGTTTGACTCCTAGGAGCATCCTCAACAGCTGCATAGAGAACATTTCTGTAATAAGCCTCTACCCCATGAGTTTAGTTCAGCAAAGAACTGGTTTGAAGTTGGGAGAATGATGGGGGTTGACACAGCAGGAAGGTATGCAAGTATGCAAAATGACAAAAGTGAACTGTTTTCACTGATCAATGCCTTCACATATTTAGAACCGTTATCATCATACCACTTTGTTTCATAATCATTTTTAATGTAGAACAGCTTTGGATAAGCTTATTTCCCCTCTCCTGTATTCATAACATTTAACAGCGCTTTAATTAGCTAATAAATAAAATTCTATATACATAATTTAACTGCCTGTTTCACCCAACTTGGCAAAAACCCACAAGTGTACAGTAATCATCAAAAAAAAAAAACAACCCATCAGCCATGATTTGCCAATGTAAGTAAAATGGCACAAATATTACTATATTTTTAACCACTGAAAAATACATACAGCTGTAATCTATTCTTTTAGCAAAAAGAATGCAGTTTAATAGAAAGTCTAAAGTTATACATATGTTTATATGATTGTCAAAAGACAGCCATAGCTCTCCCTATATATACATACATACATATATTTATATATAGACAATTTTAAACAGGATTTTAATTGGGAAAAGGAATTGATTGCCAACACACATTCCACTTTAAAAATGTCAGGGAAGGAAAATGAATAATCCTGCTGGATTTCAGAGGCAATGCCCAAGATGTGGATAACCGGCTGATCCTAGTGTCTTTCAGGAGATTTAATTAATGAGATTAATTAAACACAGAACAGCAAAGCAAGAGCAATCTGTAATTTGGTTGAAGAGGATCGTGTTGAGTTGTTAAGGTTTCTAAAGTCCATCCTACAGGCTGCTTAGGGCCTCTGAAGCCCTTACATGTGGTATTAAAAGCATTAGAATTGTAGCATCTCCTGAAATACAAGGTAACATATGCTGTTACAGAAATAGAGTTTTTTTGCTGCAAGATGTAGCATTACATGGCCATTTACAAAGTCACTGGTTTTAATGGTTTTAACTTCATGGAATCACACAATTATAGAACAGCTTGGCTCGGAAGAGACCCTAAAGATTATCTTGTTCCAACCCATGCCCCATGGGCAGGGACACCTTTCAGTAGACGTGGCTGCTCAAAGTCCTATCCAGCCTGGCCTTGAACACTTCCAGGGATGGGGCAGCCACAGAGTCTCTGTGTAGCCTGTACCAGTGCCTCCTAACCTTATGTCTAATATGGCTGGTTAATTTTATCATGTAGCCTTCAACAGCTCACCTGTGAAATATCCCTCCACAACCAAAACTTGGAAAGTCTGTATTTAAGACAGTGAAATATGTGCAGCTGCTGTAAAAACTAGTTGAGGACTGACAATGAACCACAAAATAAACACACAAAAAAAGAAAGGAAAAATGAAAAAAGAGAAGAAATTAATTATTTAGTCTGATGCAATGAATGATGCCTAAATGGCAACAGAATTAAAGCAATCCAGGGACCATTTCTGCTAAACATCAGGAAGAGCAGCCAGACTAAAAACCTCTCTGGCTTTTTGAGTATTGCCCAAGAGAGCTGGTGAAAGCCACATCAAGTAGACAAATGTTACAAGAGACAGATCAGGTAGTGCTTTATAGGAAGTAATTTTGCCTTGGGAGGGGCAGGATTGATTTCACCTCAGAAGGAAGCATGAAAAAAGAAATAGCCGGGCACCTGTTTGGCTGCTGGAGACTTTAAACGGTATTCAGCAAAAGACAGTTGTTGCAGGATGGGGCCCCAGTCTGCTCCATTAGAGCATATTAACTGTGAACACCTAATCAGAGATGCAAAGATGCTCCTTCCTGCGTGAAGCTTGTTCTGCTTTGGGTTTTACCCACACCTGGCATGCAGCACTTTGCTCCACTGTGTTTTACTGAAATACATGTTTTGGTTTGAGGTAAAAATTCCAGTTTCTACAAAACACCTGAGCCCTGAGAAAGCAAACAAACAAACAAGCAAACAAACAAACAAACCCTCATAAAGTTGAGAACTCCAGCCCTGGACACAGCCAAGCCCATGGCACTTGCTGCAACTGTACCTGCAGAAAGTTCTGTCCCTTCTCAAGGGGACAACCTCGTGGACGAAATCCAAACCCTACAAGCTCGTGCCTTTCTGTGTTATGGGGGCTGCAAATAAGGCACTTTGAAGCCTAGAAGTCACCTCTTGAAAGACAAGATAAAAATAATAGTAATAAACTACCTAAAGGGAGAGGGCAGAAACAACAAAGAAAATAGTATTTAAGGGTTTTAAAAACCCCAACAAACCACACCTCAACTAACCAGTTACCCAGCTTTCAGCAGACAGTAGGCACCAATGAGAGCTGAGTTTTATGAAGAATTTTGGACAAAATCCTTTGCAAGGATAGACTCGCCCTCTCCCTCCATATATCCCTGATGCACATTTACTTAGCTAAGCTCATCCTTTACAATCAAAGGTTAAACATTCACAATACAGTCTCTGCACCCTATCTGCTTATTTATGGCAACCTTAGAGAGGAAATCCCATGTTCTCCCATCACTGCAGAACGGACCCACCTGATTTTGGACACTTACTTAATATGAACCCCTCCAAATGAGCAGCACGTAAGAGGCTTAATTAAATTCAGTCCGTGAAGCAGAGCATGGCGTGCCTGCCAGGAGCAATAGATCCCAAAATGAAACGCCTGCGGGGCGGAACAGCAGCTTTTTGTTTCAGGACTACTGTGGTGCCTCTGGAAATTTCCAGCAGGCGTTTGGGAAAAGGCCGCTCACCCCGAGGCTGGCACGGGGGACGTGGCGACAGCTCTGGGAGGGGACTCAAATTCCCAGCAGGCGTGAGGCAGGAAACGACGGGTCACCCTTCCTTTCTCTTCTTGCAACAGAATTGCTATCGATCTGCCGGCGGCTGCAGTGCTGGGAGACAGACATACTGACTATCCACCTTCGGAGCGCAGCTGCTTATCTGCCAGTTATTTATTTAATTTATATTTCATTTTCTGACCCTGCTTTGTTATGCACAGAAACGCTGTTCTGCCAGTGAGCCGCAGGAGGGATGGGGAAGCGTGAACGGAGTTTCGTAACAGCCCTGGTCTGCTGTGGGTACGATGGTGTGTGTTCATCCCTTTCCAAACCTGCGCCTCCACGCCCTTGAGCATCTCCTGGGCTGCTTGCTTAGGGATACAGCAGAATGCAGGAGGCTTTGCCTAGGCTCTCTGCAGATGCTGAATTTATGCAAAAAGAGAAGGGGAAGGGAGGCGGAGGTAGGGAACTAGAGCTGGTGCCCAGCTAGTAAAAGCAAGGAGAGGTATAAAGCAAAGGTCAGGTTCCTCCTGAGAGTAGAGGAACAAAAGCAGCAGCACACAGCTGGGAGCAAGAGAAGGAAAAGAAGGTTAAGTGCTGCCGAAGGAGAACGGCTGACAAGTGGAGGGGGAGAGGGAGTGCAGAGCCACAGGGATGCGGCTGCAGCCAGGTCTGGAGAACAAAAGCCGAAGTGCTGCAGTGCTCAGAGCTCTCATGATGACCTTCAACACCCGTAGGCTCAGGGGCTGCTGGGTGGGCAGTGCAGATGGTCAGGAGGCACTGCCACCACCTGCCAGAAAGGAGCCTGCTTGGCGTCTCAGGGCAGTGGGGCCACCACCTTTCCTTCCAAGCTGATGGAACCCTTTGTGCAGTCCAATATAATATGCCAGTTCTGGCAGAAGTTTTCACTGATTTTTAATGTCCTCTCCCAGCACCCATTTAGGTATCACTTGGCATGCCTAGAATATCTTCCTGATATACTTTATTTCCTTCATGGACCACTTTATTTTGTCCCTGAACAACTTCACGGCACACGTGGTAGCCACCACCTGCTTGATAGACACCACGGGGTGGTTCAATAATCCAGTTTCCACCTCATCTCCCACTGACAACATTGTTTCCTGAGTATCCCTGCAATTAGAGGGCTGCTAATTCCCAGCACGGATGCTGCCGCACCACAGCAAAACTCACTCATAAATCCCACTAACAAGGTAGGCATAGCCCAAAATCAGACCCTCTGGAGGGCATATATCACACCCATCACTCAGCTGGACCCAGCTGGCTCCATGTCCCGGCTGTGGGCATACAGGGCTTGGATTCGCTGTGAATACTTAAATTTCGGAGATGTTTCATTGGAAGGGGGCAGGGGAATGTACAAAGTTTGCAGAGTGGCGCTGAACCCGACTCTGTTACGGACAATCGTAGGTAAGGCTCCTCCCTGCATAGCCAGGCGCTCACACTACTGAATTAGCTTAAAATGCTAAAAAAATAACCCCAAATTCCCCTTCAGAAGGGGCTCACCCGTCCTTCCTGCATCCCATAGCGGACCAGCTGCGCGGCTACCGGCCGCCGGTCCCCGCTTCCTCCCCGTGCCTCAGTTTCCTACCTCTCGGGGAATTCCGCTGGGGGTACCTCCGGCCCTCCCCACGCCCCCCAGCCGGGCGGATCCCCCCCAGCCCCGCCGGGGACCCACCTGCGCCCCCTCCAGCCGCCGAGCTCCGCCGCTGGCCGAGAGGCGGAGAGAGGCGGAGGAAGCGGGGGGCGCGGCGCTCCCGGCACGGCCCGGCACGGCTCGGCCCGGCCCGCTGGGAGATGTAGTTTCGCCGCCCGCCTCGGCCCTGCCCAGTGCTGCCCCGGGACTGCGGCTCGCAGCCGGCCACGCCGCATCCCGGCCCCGGCCGGAGGTAACGCGGGGCGGGCGGAAGGGAAAGGGGGGCAGGAGCGGGGCGGTCAGGGCTTGGAGTGATCGCAGGGAGCGGGGGATAGAATGGTAGGGAAGTGGTGCAATAGCGGAGATCTGGGCTTGGGATGTAGGAGGGATGCTCAGGGGAAGACATGCAGGAGGAGTAGTCGGGGAAAGAGGTGCAGGACGGATGCTCGGCGTGAGAGATGCAGGAGGAACGCTCGGGGTGAGGGATGCAGGAGGGATACTCCGGTGAGAGGTACGGGAGGTGTGCTTGGGGTGAGGGATTCAGGAGGGATATTAGGGATGAAGGGTGTAGGAGGGATGCTCAGGATGCAGAAGGAGTAGTTGCGAAAAGGAGTCCTGGAGGGATACTCAGCGTGAGGGATGCAGAAGAGGCACAGGAGGAGTGCTTGGGGTGATGAATGCTCGGGATGAGGGATTCAAGAGGAATACTCAGTGAGAAGCATACAGGAAGGGTGCTAGGGGAAGAGATGCAGGAGAGGTAGTCAGGGAAAGGGATGCTTGGGGCATTGGGATGCGGGAGGGATGCATGGAATGAGGGATGCTCTGGGTGAGGCATGAGGTAGGCTGCTCAAGGGAAGCAGTGCAGGAAGGGTGCTGGTGGAAAGTGTTGCAGGAGGGATGCTCAAAGGCAAGAATCCTTGGCAGTTGGGATACAGAAGGTTTTCAGGGGTTGGGATGCAGGGATAGAGTTCGTGTTCTCAGGAACTGGGATGCTCCGAGGGAGGGATACTCATGGTAAGAGTAGGCGTACTTGGGAGGGATACCCAGAGGGATGGTCTGGGGTTGCAATGTAGCAGAGGGCTTGGAGTGAGGTATGCAGGAGAGATAGCTGGGGTGAGAATTACTGAAAAGGCTGAGATACAGGAAGAATGCTCAAGAGAGGAATTCTTGTAGGGAGGAGTTTGGGAGAAAGGGACAGGTTTTGGGATTTCCAGAGAGATGCTTGGACAGAGGTGTGCTCTGTTGTCAAGGTGCAGAAAGGAATGATGGAGGAAGGGAGCTTGAGCATATGGCTTCTTGGGGATCAGGCTGTAGATGAATGCTTGGAGGGAGAAATACAGAGCAATATTGGAAAGTGGGGGTGTGTGCATCCCCTCACTGCCTGCAGGGCTTTGCAAACCTGTTTACAAGGCAGCATCTTGTTATAACAAACTGACCAAGACAGATTCAGGTTTTCCCCAAAGGAAGCTGACCTGGGGAGAGACACCTTGGGATGTTCCCATCCGATAGGAAGCCAAAGACTCTAAAAGTGAGGGTCAAATTCAGATTAGCTGAGATCCAATCCAATTTCACGGTAGATCTGCCCCAGGTTGGACTTTGCAGGTGTTACTGAAGAATAAAAGGAGATGTTGGAATATTTGCACTGCTGTGAGGTTTTCATAGCACTTTGGGAGCTCAACTAGGCCATGCTGCATCTGGTGGCAGGGAAATTTCAACAGCATGCCCTGCCTAGGCTGAAAGGATGCAACTGAGGTTTCACCTGAGAATGCTTTGGGCACCTTTGTGATGGAGTTCATAAGGTTTGCCATCGTCTCACTTTGCATTCCTGCTTTGTGAATTGGTTGATGCAAAGCTGAATATATTGGGGGCTGGAGGGAAACTGAGGTCTCAAATGGGCATCATACCGCATTTTTCCTTTCCTGAAGGCACCACCAAAGATTGGAGATGTCTGTGTCCAAACGGTGAATCAGTGTCTGATGAATCCCAGGCAGCGTTGGCAGTATCCGCCCTCAGTCTGGTATGCTTTGGTGAACAGGACGTGGTTTTTCCTTGGGTTATATCCAGGGTTTTAATTTCTATACAGAGACAAAAGCAGACAGAAACCTGAATAAAGAAGAGTGATTTTAATGCTATAAATACCTTCAGGAAAACAACCAGCTTTCCGGAGTAGATGTATTTACAGTCTCCAGGGACAGTGATAGAAAGGACCTTGGCCTGAAGGTCAGTGCAGGGTCTGGGCACTCCCAGTATAAAGCCTTATGGAAGTAGGGTGTCACAGCCCAGGCTGAGAGCTCTAGCTAAGCAGGAAAGAAGAAGTCTTTTGGGGAAAGAAAAGGAAGATACCTTCAACTGGAGGATGTGAGGAGGAAAACTGGGAAAAACTTACCTATTGCAGGCAGAACAGACCTTTTGGGCATCCAATGCCAAATAAATTCAGAGAGATCAAAAGCAGCTGGGGTGGGTTATTTTTGTGTGGAGAACCTGTGGTTTGTCACTGCTGGTTTGGTGGTTTGAGCAAGCCTTACCTCATGTCCCTTTCTCTCCTGCTCATTTTCAAGGGAGAGAGGAACTTAATTCCTTGTGTCTTGCTTTCTGCATCTGTACCAGGATGGTTGATAATAAGCTAGTGATGGTTTTGAGATGCTTTACCAGGATACCAGTAGGTACTAGAGATGTGTATGTGTGGTTGTTGATTGAAGGGGAGGAATGGAGCTGGGAGGAGCAGTCTGGAGAAAGAGAAGATGAAATGTTAGAGCCATAGGCTTTATTTGGTAGTGCACTGATTGCTTTGACACCCAGCCAAAGCCTTTTTTTTAAATTTGATGACGGAGTGCCTAACAGCAAAAAAACAGAGCAAGTGAAGAAACTAAGGGATCTGTGTGCACCAAAGGGATCAAAGAAGAAGCACTGAAGAAATAAGAGAGCAGGGTAGGGTAGGTAAGATAGGTGGGTTGAGATAGGGCAGCCTGCCCAGCACTGTTGTCAGTTGGAGACGGCTGATAGAATTGTATGATGTGGTCAAACATATTTATGATGTTTTTGAGAAAAAAAAGAACAGTAAAATATGTGGTACTGTAAAAAAAGGAAAAAGGGTCTGCAGTGGTCTGTGGATCTAAAGTATCAACAAGTTTTAAAGAAGGTAGGGACTACCATATGATAAATTTAGGCTGATTTAGGTATCTTCTGGTCGGTTACTTTTTTGAGACCTTTAGAATAGCATGGCCACAAGAGAGGAACTCATTGTTCCCAAGGTGGAGCTCCCAATGTACATGCAAAATGCCAGCAGTCCAGTTGGGTGACAATGCCTTAAATAAACCTTCGCTCTCTGGAGAGAACTGAAAGCTACTGTCCTGCAGAGTGTAGGACACAGAGCCTCCTGCTCTGAATCTGCTACTGCCTGTGGTGCAGGGCAATGTCCTGTTCCAAATCTGCTGCCTGTGGTGAAGGACAATCTCCATCGGTGCTGTACTAAAGGGCGGTTCTGATTCCG